TGGAACTGGGGGGACTGTGCTTCCTATGCCTTTGGACTGTTTCCCACCTCCTCCCTCCAGACATGGCCTCCATCCTCATCCCGCTGCTGTTGCTGCTGCTGCTGCTGGTAGTTGGAGTGGTGTTCTGGTACAAGCGGCGAGTTCGGGGGTGAGTTGTAGGGAGCCTGGAGAGCTCTAGCCATTACCACCATAGCCTGCCCCCCTAAAATCCCTGCCCATACTCCTGCCTCTCCCCAGAGCTAAGGGCTTCCAGCACCAGCGCATGACCAACGGGGCCATGAATGTGGAGATTGGGAACCCCACCTATAAGATGTACGAAGGAGGGGAGCCTGATGATGTAGGAGGCCTCCTGGATGCTGACTTTGCCCTGGACCCTGACAAGGTGGGCTGGGAGGACAGAGGGGTCACCTTCCAGGGCAGGGATAAGAGGCTGTGGATGGGATGACCAAGGGGGTTGGGTTGGATGATGGAACTGAGGTGGGAGGTGGGGTTCCAAGGCCGTGGAGCCCAGCCTCTGAGTCCCACCTGAACCCTCTGTCACTTTACAGCCTACCAACTTCACCAACCCTGTGTACGCCACACTCTACATGGGTGGTCACGGCAGCCGCCACTCCCTGGCCAGCACGGATGAGAAGAGAGAACTCCTGGGCCGGGGCCCTGAGGATGAGATAGGGGACCCTTTGGCATAGGCCCCTGCCCCATCGGACTTCCCCCAGAGAGCCTCCTGCCCCTGCCAGAGAAGTCCTTCAGTGAGCCCCTCTCCTGCCCAGCCAGCCCTCCCCGGCCCTGCTGGGATGTATAAATGTAAAAATGAAGGAATTACTTTTTATATGTGAGTGAACAAGCGAGCACAGTATTATCTCTTTTCATTCTTCTCCTTCCTGCCCCTTCAGCGCCCCACCCCCTGCTGCCTTCAGGAAGGGGGGCGTGGAGGGCTCTGGGGGCTCCTTTGGCTTACAGGTATGAGGGGGCCCCATCTCCCACCTTCCCACCAAAATGCACCCCCACTGGGAGAGCTGGTGGTGCTACCTTCCCTTCCTGTACAAGACACTTTGTCAGGGCTCTCCCCTGTAGTCCCCCCTATCCCTCCCAGCTCCCTGAGGGCTAATTCTGGGGAGGAGAGCCCTTAGCTGCCCTTGTCTGGAAGATTTGGCTTTAGCTGAGGTAGGAAGGGAAGGATGGAGTTTTTGGTTCTTGGGGCATCCATCCCATGCCCCAGCCCCCATTCTAGGGGCACCTTTGAGATAGCCACGCTCAGTATCCCTCCCAGACAGGCACCCCTCTCCAGTGCCCCCACGTGGCTCCCAGGGCTGGAGACTTTCTTTGTAAACGGCCCCCAACCTCCCTTCCCGTGGGGAGGAGGTGGGGCACCAAGGAAGGGCAAGAGGGCAGCCCCCGTTTTGGGGACATGAACGTTTTAATAATTTTTGCTGAATTCCTTTACAACTAAATAACAGATATTGTTATAAATAAAATTGTAAAAAAAGAAAAAAAAGAAAGAAAAGAAAAATGCCACTTGTGTGTACCTATGAGTGTGAGACTCTGGGAGTTGGGCTGTGCTTGCTTGCTTCAGCCACCAGAGGGAGCCCTGCTCCGTGCTGGAGGCAGGCTTGAGAGTCTTGTCTAGAGTGCCCTTCTCCCCGGAGCTCCCTCCCTCTCCGTCTCCGGGTGGCAGGAGAAGGGGGTGGCACTGGACTAGACAAGAAATATCTGCTTCTCCTGGGGAGTGTGACCTTGAGCAGGTGACTTCACCTCTCTGGATCTTATTTCCCTCAGGCTCTAGGATACTAACTCCAAGATCTGTTTCTCTGCATTGTCACTTTTATTGGAACACCACCACCGCCCCTACCCAAATGATCTCCCGCAGTGAGATTTCCCACCATGAGAGGTGAACACAGTAGGTTTGGGAAGGGATTCCTAATCCTTCAAGGTGGTCCCATACAGCTCTCTGATGTTGCTCTTACAGCACTAACATCTCACATTTCATGGAGATTAATGAATCAGATGCCAAGAGTAGAACCCTGGATTCAGGAGAAGAGGGGCCCTGGAGTGAAAGAGCAGGGAAAACCAGTTTGCCAGGCCCTATGGGTTACCAATAGACCTAACTCACCAATCATTTTAGACATCCCATGGCTGGACAGGAAAGGACAACCACAATCATAGGATCCCAGGTCTACTTCAGCCCCTGGCCAGAGAAGGGAACTTCTTACAGGTCACACAGCTTTACAATGAGCCCCACTCTCCCTCGACAGAAAATATGAGCTTGGAGAGGATGGTTGCAAAGAACCCTCACCCAAGTCCCCAAGAGGGAGCACTGCTTTTCATTCCCCCTCCCTCCCTAGTTCAGGCACCTCTAGAAACAAGAGCCCTCCCCTCGCCTCTTAGCCCTGAGATTTATCTCCAACCTCTGCCTCCAAGCCAGTTCTGAGGTCCTCCACTGCTTTGAGTCTCTCCAAAGGGCCCCGGGGCACAGAGACCCTGCTGAGCTAAGGAGGCGTCCTTGATCGTTGAGAGGGAGGTTTGTGCACTCATCTGTCCACCAGGTGGCGTATGTACTCCTGCAGCGCCGCTCATCCTGAAGCCCAGCACAGCCCCCTCCCCAACACACTAATTATGCACCTGCGGGCGGACCCCAGCCTAGCCTCTCACTTTCTTCCCTCGGGCTATTCTGCCACACCCCCTCCACCCTCCACCAGCCAGCTTCTCTTCTCCCCTCCACCCCAGCGCCTGCCCGCTCCCCCACCACACCACCATCAGCCCCACCCCCCACTCTCTCCCTCTGCCAGCCGTGCATCTGGCGCCCCCGGGGAGCCACTGATTCTCTGCCTGTCGCCTCAAGATCCTGGGCAAAGCGAGAGGGGCCCCCAGCTGCGGCTTGGAATACACACCCCTCCAGTCAGCATCCTCTCTCTGCCCTCCAGGAACAGCCGAGAGTCTACCGGGAGGCAGTCCTGAAAACTCCCCACCTGGCAAGGATAGCAGAGGGGGCCTGTGACAGAGGTGAAGAAGAGACGGGCAGAACCAGGGGCAGAGGCAATATAGACAGAATGAGAGACAAGAGATACAGATGTGGAAAGATACAGGGACAGAGGCAAAGACCCAGAGAGGGGAAGGGGGAGTGGTGTGTGTGTGTTTGTGTAGCTGGAGAGAGAAGGGGGTAACCTGAGATTGTGGCAAAAGGAGAAGAGATAGGGTCAGGAGTCCAGGAGATCAAGACTCTCGGGCATCTGTCCTGGGCACCCGAGGCCTGGGTGTAGCCACTGCCCCCACCTACTGTTGCAGTACCCATGGGCTTGGGACCTGGGCTCAAGATTCTGGTTGGAGCCTTGAAGCCTCAGGCCTGGCCACTCCTGCCCCTTCCCACCTCTCTCCTCTCTGTCCCACTTGCACCCAGGTTCCTGCCTCCTGGCTAACGTCTGTTTGTCTGCCTTATCTTCTCAGCATCTCTGATCTTTTTTGTGTGTGTCTGTCACATCCTTATATCTATCTGTTTGTAAGTGCCTGGACTTGTCTTTTGGACTGCCAGTGCCAATGTACACCTTTGAGCGTGTCCATCTCTGGATGTTTGCCTCTCTGTCAAGGCAAGGAAGCAGGGTAGGCTCTGAATACCTGGTTGGGTGTACTTGTCTCTTGGTGCAACTATGCATTTGTCTGTCTCTGTGTGTGCTCCTGTGTGTGTTTAAACAAAGTGTGTCCATCTGTGTTGGCGTGCCTCTAATGTGTTCTGGCCTCTGTATGAATGTGTTTCACTCTGCCTAGGTACTCACCTCTATGGTATGGCCTGCCTCTGTGAATGCTTATGTGTGCACGCCTGGGTGTATGTGTTGGTGTCTCAGGGTATGCGTCTGTTTCTCTATCTTTTTGCTTGTCTCCATCTCTCTCCTTGCCCCTATCTCTCTGTTTGTTCCTATCTCTCAGCTTGTCCCCTATCTCTTGCTGTCTAGGTGTCGGTCATACAACAACCTCAGCCACAGTCTCAGTGCATAGCAACAGCTGACAGCTGAAGACTCCCTGGCGCGCGGGGGGGGGGGGGTACTAGCAGGAGGAGGGAACCAGTGAAGAAATAGCCAAGAAGATAGGGACAGAGACAGGGCTGAGGATAGAGACAAGGACAGAGACAGAGGAGGAAGGGGACAAGGATCGAGAGGAGCTGATGGTGAAAGATGGGACAGTGAGAGGAAAGGGGCAGAGATTACACCGATAGGCCAGGCAAGGCGGCGCAGAGGGGGACTTCCTGCCCAACCCCCACGCAGGGACGCTCTGAGACGGGCTGGGAGTGGGGGTCAGCGGTGGCGATCGAGGGGCAAAGGTGAAAGGCTGGTCTAGCAGAGGAGTCCTGAGATCGGGGAGGTGCCCTGGGGCCAGGGGGACTGGCGGCGGGCGCCGTTTGTCAGCCCTATTGACAGACGTGATGGGGTTTCCGTCCGTGATCAATGATTCTCATCTCCCGGCCGAATGAGCCGCGGGGCGCCCATCCATCCCCGTCAGCACTACGCGGTGGCAGCCGCCCGAGGCCCCGCCCGCCTTCACCTCGGCCCTGGCCCTGATCTTGCCCCGGGACCCACCTTGGCCCGGAGCATCGAGGGACCCTGGTCGTGCTGGACCCTTTGGGGACACTGTTCGGGAGCTCGAGCCCCATGCCCTGCCCTGTTCCAAGTCGGTGCACAGACCCATCCTCACGTGTTCATGGTCCCTGGGCCCGCTGTTCTCCACGCTTCGCACCTGGGCCGGGGGCGTGTCTGGGGCGTGTCGGGGTGAAAGTCACCTTCGGTGCCCCCAGCCCGGCGGGAGGGGGCGCGCGGGGCGCGGCCCGGATTGGAGCGCAGCGGAGCCCCGCCCCCGCCCGCCACCCGAGTCAGACCCAACTTTCTCCCCCGCCCGCGCCCCGCCCCCAGCGCCGCGCTCGCTCGCAGCGCTCAGTCCGCCGGCCGCGCCGCCGCTCCTCGGCTCAGGCAGCCACCCCCCAGCGCCCCAGCCCGGAGCCCCTTGCCCTCGGCCCGGCTCCGGCCCGCCCCGGGACCCGCTCGCCGCTTGGGAAGATGCGGCTGCTCCCGGAATGGATTCTCTTGCTCTTTGGCCCGTGGCTCCTGAAGAAGGTAAGGGCAGCAGGGCTCCAACGCGAGCACGGGGTCCGGAACGCAAAGGTCCCAGAGTGCGAGGGGTTCCTTGAGCCCGCCCCACCCCCAGCCCTGAGCATCCCAACTTTGTGCGGCGTGGGGGATGCCGATAGACAGACTCCCCATTCAGGACGGACGCTCTCCCAGCGCAAGTTGGCTGTCAGGGGCAAGGGCAGGGGTGGAGGCCCGACTCGGATCCAGCATCGGGCGCGGCGGGGGAGGGGACGAAGCACGACCCCAGAGTGCGCCAGACGGAGCGGGAGTGCGAGACAGACAAGCCAGCAGGGTGTGAGCCTTGCCGCCTTGCCGCGCCAATCTCGCTCGCCACCTTCTCTGTCTGTCCTTCCACTCCTCCACTCGCGCCTTCGCATTTCTCTTCTCTGCACTTGTCACCATGCCAGGTGGGCACTGTGTTCCGAACATACACGGCCCGAACACACGCGCGCACACACGGACGCATACAGATGCGGCCGAACTTGGCTACAATCTCCCATCACATTTCCCGCGGAGACACCATCTCCCCTGCACAACCTCACAGACACACCCCTCACTGGCGCCGGCTGATAGGGGGTAGGGGCTGTCTGGAAGGGGAGTCTCTCCCCCTGTCCCCTCCATGGCCCCACCTCTGTAGGCTGACTCTTTCCGAGGCTCCTGGGCCAGGACTCCGAGGCTAAAGGAGCCGGGACTTGATCTATCTCCCTCCTGACTTGAAGGCTTCAACTCGTGTACACGGTGTGCTTATATGTGCTGGTGTAGAGTTTGTGGGGCAGCCAGCCTTGGGTGTCTAGTGCTGGGAACCTGGGTGCATGTGTGCTCTGGTATGGTGTGTGGTGCTTGCTCTGAAGGGGTGAATGCAAGTGCCTGCTTCACAGCACAGCCATCTGTGCCCCGCTGTGTGTCCCACAGTGGAGACCTAGGCCCTGGTCCCCAATCTCCTTCAATCAGCTTCCCTGCCCATGACTTCTGTTTCCTGCACCCCAACTGTAATCTAGCTAGTCTGGGGGCAAGCAGGTGGCTTCCTAAACCCCTACTCCCTGCACCCAACCCCCAGCCCCTCAAGAGTCTGGAAGGGGTATAGTTCTGCCCCCAGCACTTGGACCACCCCTACACACACCTGCTCAGCCAAATCACACTCAGCTGCTCCAGCAGGGCAGGGGCTGCCCAGTGAAGCTGGCAGTTGAGCTTCCTGATGTTTCCAAACCAGCCTGGTGACCTTGAGGGGCTGGAAGGTGGGCAGAGGAGCCCTCTCCACAGAAACTGCTTGCACTAGCTGGAACTTCTTTTGGACTTGCTGCTCAGCTCTGCCCTTAGCAGACTGCAGGGCGTTCTGTACCCCACAACTGGATATTTGTGAAGGCCTGGGGGAGAGGAAGGAGGGATGGTACCCCTGTCCCTCCTTTCTACTTCCTCCCACTCTCTTCTCCACTCTCCCCATCACATACATTCCCCTGTGGACAGATCTGGTTTAATTTCCTTTGCCCCCTGAAGGGGAATGAAACATCTGGTGAAGACTTGGGGGAGAGTAAGCATGAGGACGTGAGCGATGGGGATCTGGCTGAGTGTGTGTGAGAGCTGCAGCTGTGGGTCTCTGTATTGGAGTCAGTGAGGAAGTGTGTATCTGCCATTTAGACCATCTTATATGTGTGTGTGAGAGAGAGGGTTTACCTGTGTGTACAGACCATGGGTGTGAGAATATTTATAACTGTGCATGTGGAGTGTGTGTAAAAATGTGTGTCTGAGTACCTGTGTGTACTGTGTGCACTTGTGAATATGGCTTGTGCACACATGTGCATCCCAAAGTGGATCTCCAGTGCACCTGTGTGCTGCGGCCCATGTGTTTTCTGTACAAGTCTCCGGGGTTTGTGAGTGTGTATCTGTGTGTTTGTGGTTTTGAGTGCATTTGAGTGTGGGTATTGGGCTGTAAGCCTCAGGATGTGTTCCTGTATCTGAGTGTGGCTTGTGTGTGTGTGGGGGGGGGGGGGGTCAGGGCTGTCTCAGTGCCATGGTTGGCAGTGGGTTGACACTAGGTAAGAGGTTGGAGGGGAACAGTTTACAGGACAGCTCTTTGGGAAACCCTAACTGTCCATGCTAACAACCCTGCATTCTCCTACCCTGTTCACTTGCCCTTCCTCCAGGACCTCTTTTTCCTTCCTCTTTGCTCCAGGATCCTGGTCTCCTCTCAGGACCCGGGACTCCTGGCTTCCGTTGACCCTGAGGCCCTGCTTTCTGGGCCAGGCCTTCTTCAGGATCTTTCTAATATGGTCTGGTCTCTGACTCCTTCTCTCCATCTCTTCTCCGTGTCTTCCCCACTCCTTGCCAAAGTGTCTGCCTACCGGGAGAAGCAGCAGGCGATCAATAGTTACTAATCACTAATCACTAATTACTAATTAGCTGGGGGAGGGCAGGGGTGGGGCCCTGTGGGACCTTCCTGCTCTATCCTGCCTGGGGGAAGGATTAAGCCCAAGCTAGTCTCTGAGCCAGCTGGCCCCAGCCACACGTCTAGTCTACCCCTCCCGCCTCCCATAACCCCATCTAGCCCCCCAGCTAATCTCTAGCTGAGCCACTTAGGCACGTGTAGCCTGGGTTAGGGCCCATAGCTGTTGGTAGGGATTTGGGGGTAATCATGGCTGCAGCTGGGCTAGGGGTGGGGGTGGGGGCCACTGTGATAGTACCCTTGGTGGAAGCCTGTGAGTATGGGAGGGGTACCTGCTGCAAAAATTCAGATTGTCGGTCTCTGGGTGGAAGTGGTGGAGGAGCTGGAGATCCAGGACTGGGTGAGTGGAGGAGATGTGAGGTCATTGAGGGACAAACAAGGTAAAGAAGGATCACTAGGGTCAGAGACTGGATCATGGGGAAGGGGGGAGATAATATTGGAAGAGAGCATATTAGTGGAGAGGGCATCTCAGGGGTCAAAGATGAAGTCATTGGCAAGGAGATGGGGAACTTTGGACAGAGCCCTGCAACTCGCCATGTTGGGGTCTGGGGGGTACAGATAACAGAGGGCAGGGTCATGTGGGAGGGGTCCCAGGGCTCAAGCGTTTGGGGCGAGTGGGGAGTCCCGGGCGTGGGGTGGGAGCGAGCTGCGGGGCAGGGATGGAGAGTAGGGAGCTCTGCCTTGAGTGCTGGAAATTGGCGAGTCTCCCCCTCTCCCTCGCCTACCCCTCCTCCATCTCCACCCCGCCCACTCCCCCTCCGGCTCCGGCTTCGGGAAATTACATCCCCGCTCCACGGCTTCCACACCCCCCCCCCACACCGCGCCCCAGAGCCTGAGCCTTTATAGGCACATTTATTGCAATAATAAAGTGAGGCGCGGGGCGGGGGGCGGGGGGCGCCGTTCCCGGGGGGACCGCGCCGGCTCTAGGAAGCAGGGAAATAAAATAAAATAAAATAAAATAAAAATTCAGATAACGGTGAGCCTTGCGCTGCAGGCCGAGAGCAGGCGGGGCTGAGGGGGAGGGGGTACCCGGCCCAAGGGCAGAGCCGGCCCCACCAGCGGTCGCCGCCCCCTCACACTGTAATATAGTCTGGAGGGAGGTATCTGCACCTCTACCTGCCTGCTCCCCGCCCCCCATAGCCTAATCCTGTCCTTCTGCCTTTTCCTCTGACTTGTCTCCCATACCTGTCCTCAGCTCTTGTCTCCGTCCCTTTCATCCACTCCCTACTTATCCCGGATTTCCCATTCCAGTCCCCATTCACATTTCCCTGGGTTTCTGCATCCCTCAGCATCCCTGTTTCTGCCCAATAACCATCCCCCCCCCATTTCTTTCCCACCCACAACCAGTCCCCATTTCCACCCCACAGTCCCCATCCCTTTCTCATCCCTGCCCATCCCTGAAGCCCAGCCCTCACCCACCATCCCTGTCAGACCCCATCCTCAGTTTGGCTCCCAACCCATTCTGTCCCCTCTCTTCATCCCCCTGGTCCCTACCCCATCAGCATCCGTCTCTGCCCAATGCCCGTCCACCATTTCTGATCTCTTCATCTCTGTTCCCATGCTTCATCCCTGTTCTTACTCTTGTTCCATCCTCATCTCTGTACCCAATACCTGTGCCTTCCAGGTCCACACTCCCCGTACCCCTTCATTTCTGTCCCAGTCCTCACCCCAGCCTGTCCTGTCCACCTCACTTCTGTCTTCATTCCTATCTCCATCCCTGGTTCCCAGCCAGACCCCAGTTACTCCACCCGCCCTGACTGCAGTGCCCCCGCCTATTTCTAGGTGCAAGGGCTCAGGACAGTCTTCCCTCTTCCTCCCCAACACAGGCTAGAGCACGGTTCTGCCCAACCACAGGGTGCCATCCCCTCCCGCCGAACCCTAAGCAGCCCCGCCGGCCCCATGAAGCAGAAGAGAAGCAACCGACCAGTCTGGAGGCCCTGGGGAGGTGCACCCTGCAATGCGGCTGGGGGGTCAACAGTCTCATCCTCCCCCCATTCCCAGCAGTCCCATTCCAAAACAGCACAACCCGCCCCCCCCCAGGAGGAGTTTTTTCAGCAAGAGGCAGCCTCAACTCCCATCCAGTGCGTGGGCTCACTGCCTTGGGGGCAAAGCGCTCCTGGCTCGGCTCCCACCCTGCAAGGGCCTGGAGGCACCTGGTGAAGCGCACCCCCAACCCCCATATCCCTGTCTGCCACCAAACACCTCCGCACCCCACCCCCCAAGCCGACAGCCCGGCTGGCTTCTCCCCTCCGCAAATGTCACCATGCTCAATTAAGTTAATTAAACCAGCTCTGGACTGAGGGGTCCCCCTTCTCGGGCAATACCCTGCTCTCATCTTAGTCCTAGAAGGGGGGGACAGCATCATGGGTCTGGACAAAGAGGGGCTCTCTTGTCACCCTGCTTTCCCCTCACTCCCACCCCCACCCACAGCTGGAGAGAGAGAGACAGACAACCTGAAGATAGAGGGGGAAAATCCACAGTTAGAGACATAAACAGGGAGAAAAATATAATCATAAAAGGAAAATTAGAAACAGTGAGGAAGAGACTGAGAGACCAAACAAAAAAAGAGAGAGCGAGAGAGACTGAGAGGAGAGTCGGAGAGAGAGAGATGGAAAAACAGTGAAAGAGGGAGAGCGGGAGAGGGAGAGGGAGCAGGCGAGCAAGGAAGCCAGAGGGAGGATTTTATTTTATTTTATTCCATGTTCCCATTTCTCGGCTCGTTTCCTCGCAGACTCTCGGTCCTCCCTGTCCAAGCTCCCCCCACAAGGTCACTGTGGCTGCCCCTCCCAACTCTTCCCTTCTATCTTGGCTGTCTCCTATGGCAGGTGGAGGTGCAGGTGCCCAAAGCCCAGGGATTTGCCAGGATCAGAGAAGCACAGACAGCAATTTGTCTGGGATTAGAGGGGGGACACCTGACACCCCACCACCACCCAGCGATACCTGCTTCCTGTCCCAACCCCTGCCTGGAGGAGTTGCTGGTCTGAGCCAGCCCTCCACAGGTCCGGGGCAGGGTGCAGGACATTGGATGCTGCTAGGGTGTGCTGGGGGCAGGGGTGTGGCTCAGAGGCATTTGGAGTTTGTAGCAGCTAGCTTCAGGGACTGATGGAAGTCCCTGGAAAAAGCAGTGGTTGGGCTCAGAGGGGTGAGGAGATAAGGTGTCAGAGTTCAAATGCCCCCTCCCTCAAGCCCCACCCTTCCACTTTCCCTGTAGCTTCACACACTCCCTCCTCCATTGCCCTCTCTGGGGCTCCAGTGCTGCTCTCTCCCAGCCCACTTCCTGGGGAGGTCCTTCCCCTCCTGTGTGGCCTAGGACCCCCTTCCCCCAGCCTCTCTCTGGCCCGCCTTCAGGGTGTTAGCTGCCAGCTCAAGCACGTCTGTCTGAGTCAATCACTCTTGTGTGCACCCCCCACCCCCACACCCCTCACCTGAGCTGGGAGAAGGTATGGACCGGAGGAGGAATGAGGGGGCGATAAATATGTATGACTATCGGTGGCGGTGGCCACATTAATAACCCAGGATCGCAGCGCTGCAGGGATGGGGACCAGGCGGTGGAGATTCTAGCCCAGCAGCTTGACTCTGCTGTTCCTGTCCCCTGTGGATACATGGTGTATACACATGGGTATGTACAAATAAAGGGGACACTCATGCTGTCAGGCCTCTTTACCTACCCAAAGCTCAGCCAGTAGGGACTATTCATATACAACTCACACACATGCACCCCCACAGGGGGAATATAGTGTTCTATCATTGTGGATATACCCGACACACACTCTTTAGAAGGAGCTTGACACATGGACACAGGATGATAGGCACTCACACAGGAAAAGTGACACACCCAGAGAATCACATACAGCCAACACAGGCATACAACTAATACCAGTCACACAGATGCAACTACCACAGACTGATACACAGCCTCGTTCAGATTAATACACATAGCCAAACCAGGTACACATACAATCCAGGCACACATATAACCCAGGCACACATACATAGCCACCACAGACTGACAACAACAAACATTCAGCCACCACAAGCAAGCAGACACACGTATACACACAGCCTCCGCAGACTGATACACATGGGCATACAGACAGACACACATATACAGTCACCACAGCCACACACACATAACCACATGCACAGCCACCTCAGGCAGACACACACCCATCACCATAGCTACACACACACATCACTCCAGGTAGACAGACAAGAAATACAACCACCCCAAACTGACACATGCAGTAATCCCTTCCCCCAATCTGAATCCACACGCAGTAAGGGCCACCCTAACAGCCACAGCTAGCACAGTCTGACTGACACATACAGCTCCTCTCCCTCCCACTCCCCTCGCTGGAACAGCATCTCCATATTTCTTCCTCTCCCTATGACCAACCATCTCTTTCACTCCCAGCCACCCCTGCCCCCCCCAAGATAATTGATGGCAGAGGCCTGGCCCCACTGCTCCCCGCCTCTCGATCTATCTTGTACTCCTGCGCCTGAGATGTCTCCCAGATAGCTGCCACCTGAGACACAAGGAGATGGGTGGGGGCAAGCCAGGCAGCTTCTCCTGCCGCCTCTGAGCCCAAGGAAGAACCACCAGGCAGCCTCTCCCACTGAGCCAGAATTCTGGAGGTGGGGAGAAGTACTTGAGTAGCCCCCAAGCCTTAACCCCCAATGCTCAGACTCTCCACTGCTCCCCTGAGTTCTACCAGTTTCCCGTGCTCCTTCCCACATGGGAGAGGAGGATGAAGCTGGGGTGGGGGCTCTAGTTTCCACAGAGGCATCTGGAAGTCTTCACCTCTTTCTTGATGCTGGATGTTGACGGCAGTCATGGCCTCACTTACCTGAGTTCAACTCCTCCCTGGCCCATTATTCTGAACCAGAGAAGTGCCGCTGCACACGGGTGTGCTGCAAGAATTTTTAAAACATGCAATACTTAACTATTTAGTCAGAGGCACTGACCTCCTCTTTTCTCTTAGATTGTCATATTAAAAATGACAATGGCCGTCACAACCATAGCCGTCTGGTGTGAATGCATCAAAATTATACCTAGTTTTGTCAGATCGGCAAAAATATATTTTTGGTGTGCTGCAGAATTTTAGTAATTAGTTTATGTGTGCCATGAAATGAAAAAGGTTGAAAATCACTGCTCTGAACCAACCAGGCTCCAGGCTGGAGGAGACTGAGTCCCTATTTCCCTATTCGAACCCACACTGGCCTGGGCTTTTTCAGCCGCATGGGAGATCTGGAAGAACATAAGGATTCTCAGTGTCATCTCAGAGATGTAGAAACTGAGAGCTAGATAGGTGAAGTGGCTTGGCCAAAACCACACAGATTTTTAAAAAAGGGCTGCAGATCTACTCCAACGCACACCCACTGAACCACTTGCTGCGGACTGCTCAATTCCATTTGGTCTCCTAGTGGCTCTGGAAAGGGGCTGCCATGGTTAATGCCCTGGTAGGGTGGCCAAGGGCAACTCCAGCGTCTCTTTTTCTTCCTCTTTTTTCGTCCACAGGCGGTCAGCACCCAGATACCGGAGTCCGGGAGGCCTCAGTACGTGGAACTGCGCCAGGCTGCAGCCGGAGGGGGCGCCCCTGCCCAACGGCTCCCGGCGCCGAAGTCTTCCGACAGCCTGGGCACCGCCCGCGCCTGGAGCTGGGCCTGGCCGGCTAACCACACCGGGGCACTGGCCCGGGTGGGAGCTGCGGGGGCGCTACCCGCGCAGCGCACCAAGAGAAAGCCGTCTATCAAAGCGGCCCGCGCCAAAAAGATATTCGGCTGGGGGGACTTCTACTTCCGAGTGCATACCCTCAAGTTCTCGCTGCTGGTGACCGGCAAGATCGTGGACCACGTGAATGGGACTTTCAGCGTGTACTTCCGCCACAATTCGTCCAGCTTGGGCAACCTCAGTGTCAGTATCGTGCCGCCGTCCAAGCGCGTAGAGTTCGGGGGCGTCTGGCTGCCGGGCCCCGCCCCCCATCCTCTACAGTCTACGCTGGCTTTGGAGGGGGTCCTCCCTGGGTTGGGGCCCTCTCTGGGGTTAGCTGCCGCAGGGGCGGGGCTGGGAGGCACCCTAGGGGGCGCTCTGGCGGGCCCACTCGGGGGAGCGCTGGGAGTGCCCGGGGCCAAAGAGTCACGCGCTTTCAATTGCCACGTGGAGTATGAGAAGACAAACCGCGCGCGCAAGCACCGCCCATGCCTGTACGACCCATCGCAGGTGTGCTTCACCGAGCACACGCAGAGTCAGGCCGCCTGGCTCTGTGCCAAACCCTTCAAAGTCATCTGCATCTTCGTTTCCTTCCTCAGTTTTGACTACAAACTGGTGCAGAAGGTGTGCCCAGACTATAACTTCCAGAGCGAGCACCCCTACTTTGGATAGTGCACCCCGCCCTCGCCCCAGCCCTGAGCTTCCCGCCAAATCTCGGCCTCCCCACGTGACTCCTCCCAGTGCCCCAAACTCCTGTGGCCGCGTCCACCTTTCCAATATGGGGGCAGAGAGGAAAAGCCCTCCTGAGGACTATCAGCTGGCGTGGGTCCCCTTTTCCTTATGGGGAGTGCCTTTGAGGCCCCCTCAGCTACACCCCAAAGTGGAGGAACAAGAGCGCAACCCCAGAATAGGCGATCCCCGCGTCCCCTACGTCCACGTTGGGTCCCTTATACGCCCCTGGCGCTGGGCTGGACACTCCCTTTGCTCATAGCTTGAATAACGCCTGGCCTGGCACCCTTATCCTACCCTTTCTTACCCCCAGGTCTAGTTCTCCCGCTCCACCCTGTACTCTCGTAAAGATTGTCAAGACTTGTAAACTGCGGCCTATCCCCATTCCCTTCTGCCTGCCGTATGCCTGTTTCTCTTTCTTTAATACCCCCAATTAAGGTACTGGAAGCAGACTCCTGGGCATAGGCGATGACTGGGGCCCCTGCCTTCTGCCTGCCTCCCTCCCATTCCTGCAGTCCTGTTCCACCTGCCCCTTTCCGGCTGCTTCCTCTCGGCGATTTTTTTTTTTTTTCCTACTCCAAAACATACGGGAAAGGGAACAAAATAAAGCGAAATCCAATATGAGTTTGTGTGAGACCTTTGTAGGGAAGGGGGAGATGGTGTGGATTTTAATGTCTGGCAGAGACCGGGCCAGGCCCTCCTCCCCTTGTGGCTCGTGGGGAAACTGAGTCAAATAATGATTAAAGCTAGCACCTTGTAGGTCATCCAAGACCAGATCACATAGAGATGAGGACGACCTTTCAGGTAGGGGCCCTGCCTGAGGTGGGCAAAGTGAAACTGCAGCAAATAGGATAGGGAATAAAACCTGAGAGGGTACTACTAGCGGGCTATTTGGGACGATTTGGGGGTATAAAGGCCTTGAATTTCCATTCAAGGAGATGCAGGGACATCGTAAGCAGAGCGCTGATAACCTGCTAAGCTCCGTGGAGCTGGAGGGAGGCGGCAGGTGGGGGGAAGGGGAACGGTGTTTGCGGCATCTGGAGTCATCGATCTTCCTTTTCCTTCCTAATTTCGTGGGCGCTGAGTTTGCAGACGGATGAGGGAGAGAGGGAGTGAGGCCTGAGACCCGGGCGTGGGGGAAGGGACGAGAGAGAGTTCGGAGAGCGGGGCTTCGTCGCCTCTACAAGCCTCCTGCAAACAAGGCCCCCTTCAGCCAGCTGCCCACCCTCTCCACCCCCGCCACCCCCGCCTCCGGCTCCCTCCTGCAGCCGCCGCTGCTAATTTTATCCGCCCCCAACCCTGGCCCGGGCGTTAATTGGCTGCGGCTTCATTAGCAGTTCTCAAGCTCGGCCGCCCCCCTCCCCTCGGGACCCCTGACGGGGGCTAGGGAGGGGGGTACAGACAAGCTGCGGCACAGAAGGACGCGTCTTCTTCAGCCTTCTTTCGTCTTTAGTCCGTGGTCAAGGTACCGACTCAGAGAGAGCAGTGTTCTCCGGGGGATTGCCCATTGGTTCCAGCGGGAAACTGAGTCAAAGATGAGTGTGACACAGAAATACCTAGGAGTGAAAAGCCTGTAAGGGGAAAATAAATATCTGATGGATGGGTGAATGGGTGGATAGGTGAATGAATGGAGATGGATGGATGGATGGATGGATGGATGGATGGATGGATGGATGGATAGGTGAATGAATGGAGATGGATGGATGGATGGATGGATGGATGGATGGATGGATGGATGGATGACAGGATCAACTGAAAGAAGGAGAGAGGTGGGAAGTGGTTCTGGGTCACAGACTGGAGGAAGGAGAAGAACTCAGCTGACTCCTAACACAGGCCTATTGCTGGAAAGACCTGAGAACACTGGAGCATGAGTGGGAGGGAAGGAGGTTTGAGCTAAGGGGGGACTTCTGAGGCCTGAGATGAGAGCCAAGAGAGAATGGTTGGAATTAGCAAGTTAGCCCATCTGGGCCTTAGTTTCCTCACTTGTAAAGTAATAATAAAATACTTTAAGATTAAATGAGATTTTGCATGTGAACTTGGTTTGTGATGAATTGTCCTCTCTTCTTCCTCTGAGTCATAAACCTGCCTCCTCCAAGGCCATCATCTCCTCCTCCTTCTCCCACCCTCTTTTTCAGACATCTGGACAAGGGAGCAGAGTGAGGTGCCCCCTGCCTGTAATTGCACTTGTTGCATTTTGTTACCTGTTCACTTTTTTTCTAATTGTTAATCCTCACCAGAGGATATTTTAAAGAGAGTGGAAGGGGAGGGAGTAGAGAGAGAGCAACATCAATCTGAGAGAGACACATTGATTGGTTGCCTCCCGCAGGCACCCCAACCAGGGCTGGGTTTCAACTCATGGCCCTATGGTCCATGGGCCAATGCTCTAACCACCGAACAACATTGCTCAGGGCACCCTTTCACTTCTTGATGTCCCAGCAGTCAGTATTCTGTTTTTTTTTGTTGTTGTTAATTCTCACCTGAGGATATTTTTCCATTGATTTTTTTAGAGAGAGTGGAAGGGAAGGGGGGAAAGAGGAGAGAAAGAGAGAGAAGAGACACCAATGTGAGAGAGATACATCCATTGGTTGAGTCCAGAAGGAGACTCAATCAGGGCCGGGGATCTAACCTGCAACCCAGGTACATGCCCTTGACCAAAAATCAAACCCAAGACCCTCAGGTGCTTGGGCTGACACTCTAACCACTGAACCACACCAGCCAGGGCAGTAATCTATTCTTATGGTATGTCTGGCACAGAGTAGGAGCTCAATACGTATGCTGAATGAATGAATGTGTAATATTGCTATGTGAGACAATAAAATCACTGCTTATTAGAATTATGAGGAGAGGTTTCACTGTGTCTCAGTGTGAGTGGTCAAATGACCATTATTCTTTTTTTTTTTTTTTTAATTATTTTTTTAAAATCCTCACCTGAGGATACATATTGTTTTTACATTTATCTTCAGACAAAATGGGAGAGAGAGAGAGAGAAACATCGATGTTTGAGAGACACATCGGTTGGTTGCCACCCACACGACCCCAACTGGGCTGGGGATGGACCCAAACCAAGTTACGCGCCTTTGGCCAGAATCGAACCTGGGACTCTTTGGTTCTCAGGCCAATGCTCTAACTGCTGAGCAAAACTGGCCAGGGCAAATGACCATTATTCTTTAAAATCTATTGAATTAGAACCTCTGAGGACAGGCTCCACAGTCATATTTATATCAGATTTCCTAGTTAATTTGTTGTTGTTGTTGTTAATCCTCACACAAGAATATTTTTTCCATTGATTTTTAGAGAGAGTGGGGTTTGGGGAGAGAGAAACATCAGAAACATGTTACTGTAGCCCAGCGGTTGAGCATCGACTCATGCACCGAGAGGTTGCCAGTTCAATTCCCGGACAGGGCACATATCTAGGTTGTGGGTCAAACCCCCAGTGGGGGCATGCAGGAGGCAGCCAATCAGTGTTCGCTCTCATCGATGTTTCTATCTCTTTCTCCCTCTTCCTTCCTCTCTCTCTAAAAATAAAGAAAAATATTTTTTTAAAAACACAAAAAAATCGATGTGAGAGAGACACATGGCCTCTCACTGTGCAAGGACTGGGGCTGGGAATGTGCAACCCAGGTATGTGCCCTTGACTGGAAATCGAACCCGAGATCCTTCGGTGCACAGGCTGACACTCTGACCACTGAGCCACACTGGTCAGGGCCCAGCTAATTCTGATGCCCACGTTTGGGAACCTACTCCTGGAAGGGTCAGTGAGTGAGTCCCTCTTCCAAAGAATGACGCCAGAGGAAGTCAAACTAAAAGGAAGATTCCTTTCTGTTCCAAATATCTATAGCCCCGGGGAAATAAAGAGAGCTTCATTGACTACTAGGGTGCCAAGAGGAGAACAGTTAATAAAATTCAACAAGTACAAGGACAAGAGCCGGCATCTCACTCAGCTCTGGGATGTCCCAGGAGAAGGAGGAGATGGCCAAGGAGGCAGGTTAGTAAATCAGAGAAGGAAGGGAAAACAATCCATTCCAGAGCATGTATACATACAAAATGTCATGTAATCCCCACCATATGTTATTTTACTATTGATTTACAAATGAGGAAGCTGAGGCCCAGATAGACTAATTTGCTAGTTAGTTCCAGAGCTGGAACTTGAACTCATGTCTCTCACCCTTCCAATGCAGCATGGCTCTCTAGCTCGTATATATAGGAGTCTTTGTATTTCCCAGGGACCCTAATAATGCTAGGTATTCAGTAGGCATCCAATAAGTGGTTGTCTGAACGACAGGGGGGAAAAAAACTCTAAGATCTCAGAACAATGAAGAAATGTGGCGGCAGTAGATCTCTTTTCTTTCAAGCTAGAACCTCTGACCCTGGGCCTATAGACGGAAAAGGAAGCGGAAGAAAGGTGGAATAAACTACAATTCCCAGAAGACCATAAAGGTGTCATCTCACGCATGCGTAGGCCCCTATCCCTGATCCTGTGGCTTCTCAGGCCGCTGTTCTCACGCATGCGCTCTCGGATCAGTCTGCTTCCGACTCTTTGCTTCCCCAAGCTAGTTGGTGGCTCTACCTCCGGCGACTTCGGGTTACGATGCTGCCTTTCTCTTTGCTCTTGGCGACTCGGGTAAGAGTGGGGCTCCGGAGTCTGGGTGACCTGTAGAAAGCAAGTTTCCCTCTACCGTAGTATCCATTCACAAACTATGGGGTTCTCTTGGCTTTTCCATGCACGTGATCTGGGTCCTCCCGGAGCCGGTACGCAACTAGGGAATCCCCGAGACCCCCGGTAACTGTGGGCCGCTCTCCATTACGGTAATCAGAAGCCCCAGGGCCATGTGACCGTCCATGTCACGTGGCAGTAAGGGAGCCCTGTAACGGATGCCCCGTGGATCCTGTGCTGGCGAACAGCGGGGTTCTCAGCCTAGACAAGCAAGCTGAGTCTTTCCTGTAAGTTCTGAGCCGTGCGATGATGTAACCGAGCCCACTGATTGCATCAGGGGCCCTGTAGCTCTGGGCTGGAAGGAGGTGGAACGGGGGCAGGGCAGAGGACTGGATGTGGTTTTTGACTTCTCTGTCATCAAACCCCCCAGCCCCACCCCTCTTCCCCGGGAACTGCTGAAAATCTATCCTGCTACACCTCCATTGTTCTGAAAACCACCTCTAACCAAGCCTGTTGTCTTAATCCCTTGCTATTTGGCCTCTTCCCCACTCACTGGGTTATCAGTTTATGGAGTCCCTTCAGGGAAGACTCTTTTGTACCGTGGGTGGGGAGGTTCTGGAACCTCTAGCTTCTAGAAGACAAACTTTGCCCTGCGGCTTTGCAGAGTGGTTCATGGGTCAAGGTGGAGGAAGATTCTGAGGTGAGGTGAATGGACCGAATCAGAACCACCCCCTGGACATTGATCTCAGCCTTGGCTCTAGAACTGCCTTTTGGAGGTGGGGGTGGTAAAAACTAGAACAGGCAGGCTACACAGCTGGCTTATGGGTTTGA